CTCTCTCTCTCTCTCTCTCTCTCTCTCTCTCTCTCTCTCTCTCTCTCTCTCTCTCTCTCCTCGCTCTCTCTATCTCCGTGCTCCGCTTTCCGCGCTCCCCCTCTCCTTTGAATCATATGTATGTTCTCGTAACGCCCTTACAGACAAAGAGTGTTTCTTGCACCGGTTTTGGGAGAAGACGAGACAGCTTACGCCGGCGCAAATCGCACAGGCTCTGCATGACGTGAGTGCAAGAACAGACGTCGGACACGACAGCCGGATGTCGCCGAAGTTCAATACGATATTGTCGAGTTGTCGGTTGGAAGGGTTATCTTGCGACCTGAACAGTCCGCCCAGTATTTCCTTCGAATGTCAATAAACCAAAGCATCCCGTTTCGTCGCTTAAACACTCACGCTTTAGCCTTCCTCTTCGAGCTTTTTTCGTAGGTGGGTCGACTCTGTTCTTGCTCCCATCCGTCGGGTCGAGATGCGGTCATGCTGCGTGCACACGCCCATGCGTTGATCTCGTCTTGTATTGTCGCTGGTTGGAATCGTCCGCCCTTGTATGTGAGTGCTTTCTTGTACTACCTTGGGTGTCGAATCGGGACTGACGGGATGAAAGTCTTTTGTCTTAGCCGCACGAGAGTCGTCTATGCTTTCCTCTTGCCAAAGCGTGACAATAGGTTTCCCATTTCTCGTGAAGTGTCACTCGTTCATGTTCTCGATCGTTTTGCTGCACAGTCTTTTGATGTTTTTCGTCTCCCTGTGATACTGAATATTGTGCAGATCTCCTCTTCAGCCACCCAGGAAACCCGCGCCTAGAAGTTATTTTGCCAAAGTGACTTCAGCAAGAGTACAATGTTAGCCCTTGTCACACACTACAGATATGTGGTCCTCCATTTTCTGAACGAGCAGCCTTTTCTCGAGTTTGGTGAGCTACAAGCAGGCCACTGCTATGGAGGTCCGATATGCAAACGCTCCAAGCACCTTTGCTTACTGCTAGACCAACACACACATGACCCCAGGCCTTCAAATCAAGTACGGCTCCGAGTGGTATGTGAGGGAAGAGCTCGGCTGAAGTCGACGGTCACATCCACTCACATAGGCTCTGGTTTCGGCCACTATTGCGTGCTTGCAGCGTTCGAAAATCGGGCCATCACGGCAGACTACTGCTTGTAGTTCACCGAACGCAATGAAAAACGGCTCGTGTCGAATGTCCAAAAGCGAAATTCATGGACCAAATCTGTGAAGTATCTCAAGGTTACACTCACGGATTTCCAGGGACGCTTTTTTGGCGATCGTAGATTCATTCTGACGTTAGACTTCGGGAAACCAAGTCAAACAGGCGTTTCCTGGGTCGCTGAACAGGAGATGTGCAATTCCCGTCCCCCTTACATGCATAACTAGTAGTATGTTGTCCATCGGTCCCCTACATTTTGTGTTTTTCCTCGCCCCCCGACATCTCATGCGGGGACATGTATATCTTTGCGTCCTCGAAAGGAGGATGAACTGGAGGAGGTTCATGAAGAAGCCGCTCAAGAAGGACAGAGTGATCAGATCGCCCGCGAGGAGAAAATCAACACCCATTTCGTGTGCCTCACGTGAGTCAGCTAATTATGTGTTCCGCGGGCACGGGCATGGGCTGGGGGGCTGGTCTCTCTCCTGAGGTGCGCGCGTGTCCTTCTTGTTCCTCGTGAACATGCGTGGTGGAGTATGTGCCCCCACGGCCAAGCGATCAACATTTTCGTGTCGATTGGCGTCGTTGTGCATGTAGAACTCCGCGTCCGAGAAGAAATAGGCTCAGAGAGGCTGACCCTGTTGTCTTGGAAGTAGTGCGTATCACACAGGTTATTTGCTGGCCTCTACTTCGCCCGAGTTTTGTAGACTTGGGATGTTCCGGGGATAATTATCACGCATTCAACTTTGAAATGTAGTGATAATCGCAGAACGATCGGATGGTTTAGCAAACATGCGTTCCAAGACATGAAGACTACCGACTAGATTAGGAACGCTCCACCACAGCGCGCAGAAATCGTCAGGACGGCCAGCATGGCGTCATTCCCAGCCCCCGTCCCCGACCTATCCTCACTTTTTAATCAAGAAGCCCGCCGCCATATGTTTGCCGCGATTTTCCAGTGAAATGGACGGTACCCTTTACGAGCTTGACGGGCGCAAGGAAGGCCCAGTCCCGCACGGATCCACGTCTCCAGCCACCCTGTTGCAAGACGCGTGCGCGGTGGTGAAACAGTTTATGGATAGGGACCCGGGCGAGCTAAGGCAAGTTCCTCGACGAGGGTGGTTTGAGAGGAAATGGCACACAACAATGCAACATTATATGTCTCTCGCCCACCCCTGTGGTCGAGCCATGGGTCTGTGCCTTCCACTCGCACACGGCACGGCAGCATGGGGAGGTTTGGACCGGTCACCTTCGTGTAGCTGGAGCCGCGTTCTGGAGAACGATGTATCTGACATGTTTTTTGGGTTGTCGTTTGAATGGTGGCGTAGAATAACATGGTGTTTGAGGTTCTGCTCGAAGGCCGTGCAGAGGCAGGAAGCGTCTCACCGTCCACCACCCACTCCCTACCCTCTGCACAGAATCAAGTTTTCCGCCTGGCAAGATCTTGTCGCTTCCCCACTGACTGCACAAAGTCCGTCAGCCGCTGCTCCACACGAACAACGCAACGCATGAAGATGTTCCTTACGCACGGGCGTTGCTACCTGCTCCTCTCACACACGTGCAGGTTCACCATCGTAGCTCTGGCGCCGGCTGCGACCGACGATGCATGAGCTAAGAGTGGTGGTGTGATGTAGCATACGCAACCTGCTCTTAACTTGAGCAGTGCGGTGTAGGCCTGAAGGAGCCAGGAACGCTAAGCGGGCGACACTGCGAATATCTCACTTCGCAGATGTTTTAAGCACAAGGAAAGGTGTCTCTGGGCGGGAGGAGTGCGGCATTGTGTACAGCAGATGGAGGAGAGAACGACGAGTGTTTAGCTTGGCTCAATGTACCTGCCGAGTAGCTGGAACGAGGGGTGGATCCCTTGTACCACGACTCTCGAGCCTCAAGAACGAACTTAGAGTGAGAGTGCACACTCCTTGTTCTGAACAATGTATGGTCTCGTGCATGTGCACGCAGTTGCTCTTCGAAACGGGTGGGTCGATTTGCAAACCACCAGTTAATCTTGAATAAGTAAACCAAACTTGCCCTAGACACCGATCGGTGTTGAACCTCCTGAGATCGCGAAATGGCTCCTTTTGCGCTTTTTTCGTTTGCCAATACTTTCGTTTTGAACATGCCAGCGTGCAAGAGCAGCTCCCTGTTCTCCCCACTACGGCAACTAGGCTTGCAATATGGTGTCGTCCTGCGGCGCACGGATAATTCATTGATATGTGTGCACTGCACCGAATCCCTACACTGGCTTCTTGTAGCTGAAACGTCCTCTTGGCGCGACCGGTATCGAGCATGTAGCGGTGACTGCACTGAGGTTACCTGGGTAGCCACATGTTTGAAACATGTATACCGTGCTGGGCAAGGGAAGCTCTGCCTGTATCAACATTCTCTACCACTTGATGTATGCAAACTAAATGTATGCAAATCGCATCCGTCCCTGGTGCTGATGTTTCAAAATGTTGGGTCGAGTGCCCGCCTGGAAAGGAAAATATAGCACGCCAGGAGTATTCTGCCATCCGCACTCGTCGGACACCATCGACAGCTCTTCCAGTAACAACCCCACTAGCGGTGACCAAGCGGCTAGGAAATAATACTGCATGCCGTGCTGGACCAGGGCACCGCTGCTTACATCAATGCTCCGTACCACTTGTGACTGACCGTGTATGCAAATCCCATCCCACATCTTTTACAAAATCTTGAGTCACGCGTGCCCTAAAACGAAAAAATACGCTAGTCGGCCACCGCCGAAAGTCTTCCTAAAACAACACAACATCAACAACCTTAACGATTTTTCTGTTCTTTTGTCTCCGGCCCATTCTGCTCGGGAAGGCAGCCTGTTGCACACTGAAATAATCCGCCACAACGAGAGCCAACACTTGACACTTTTGTCCCACCGCCACGAAAACCAAAGTCAGAGTTGCGGCACAAGTAGATCGTTGACCTAAACTTGGTTCTCGCCACGAAAGCAGCTCCCGAATCGTGTCAAATGTAACAGAACATCCAGCTGGTGAGCCTTGCCTTTCGTGATAGGGCGCTGCAGCACCGAGGAGACTCTACGTTACAGCAGCCTAGATGGTTGGAGCACGCAAAAAGAGTACAGTCAGATTTTCAAGATTCGGTTCAGGGAGAAGCAGCTCCGGCAGCAAACGGGGGTTTGCCATCAGCTGCTCCTAAAGCAGACGGGGGGCTCCCACCAGCTGGACCGGCAGCAGTCGAGGGGCTATGTTCGTCCAACCAGCACATGTCGCACCAGGCGGTCACCGCGTCGTCGGCTGTCTCGTTCAAGGCGTCTAAGCCTGACCAAAACGTAAGGAAATCGTCATTTAGAGCTTGTATGGAGCCGTGGTCTTCGAACGTTGGGGCAGCCTCACGACCCTTTCCGCCGCAGGAGTCGTCGATTCCATTGCTTTCGCCATCGATAGCGAGAGCGGGGGCCGCTACGGGATGAAGGAGCCGCCCGTTCACAACGTAGTCCAAGTGACCATCGTGGTGTACGACCTGCGCAGAAGGAGACAAGGGCAGACATTTCAAACCGTTTCCCTCAAGTCTTCTCATGGGGTAGGGTGACTTGCCAACTTTGCTTTGAACGAACAGACACGACACAAGTGAATAACTAAGTAGCGAAATAGCTCGCTCGAAGATGGCAACGACGAAAAAAGATGGTGCGATAGTGGTGGGGCTGCTGGTGTTGCTACTGCGGCCGCTGCACGCACCTCATGACCGCAATGCGGCCCGTGGTTGTTGCTCTCACAACGACCTCGTGTTTGGTCAAGTCGCGCGCCGTCCCAATGAACGAGGGCGTTCATCGGCTTGCCGGAACCATTCCATTCCTCCTTCGAAGAATCATCGCACCCACAGCTAGCAGCACCCCCTCCGCCTCCCTCCTTGCTAACGCTCACCCAGTCTCCGCCAATTCTCTGTCCAAAGACGACACGCATGGGGGGGGTCATGCTGATGTGAAAATGCAAAAGCGCGCACGGGACAGGCAAAAGGGCATTGTGGCGGAACGCTCACTACCAACCGGGACATGGCTGCGAACGCCTTTCACCCGGTAGACACACTGCGGGATACAGCCAAGTACTACAGGAGTTTCACCGCGCCCTTTTCACAGTAAGGGGTGTCAAGGCAGCAAATTTCCCATAGGAAAAAAAATGAAAAAGTGACCTCGGATCTTCCTGATGGAAAATCGACTGACCAATGAAATTGCACGGAACGGTCCGAAAGCTCCCAAAAAACACCTGACGCGCACGCGCGAGGGCGCCGCTCGTGTGTGTGCTCTGATGTGCCCTGCTGTGGGACACAACACAACACCTTTGCACGATCCCACTCTAGAACACATGCCTCATGACACACCCGAGCAGCAGCCGGGTGGTTAAGCCACGCAGACACCTGCCGCCGCTGCCGCCGCCGCTGCTGCTGCTGAAAAAAACAGCAGCAGCAGCAGCGGCGGCGGCGGCGGCGGCAGCGAGGTCGAGCCTGGCTCTCCTCCACAATTTTCTTACTTTTGACCAACTCCTCCTTCGTTTCCTCCAGCGTTCTCTCTACGACGGTGAGGCTGCCGCGTTCGATGGCGCGCCGCGTGTTATCTTCTGCTGACGCGGCAACCATGCACTGCCCCGTCCTCTCTTCAAACGTTGTTTTGTTTTGATTCAGCTTTCGCGCAGCGCGCCTCCTGCTACCGAACGGCGCGGACCTCGATTTTTTTTTGGGGGAGGGTCTGCGGGTGTGGGCGCTGCAGCCCCACTGGAGGAGCCGTTTTCAGACATGCATTGATATCGTGGTTGGCTGATGCGATTCGGATGCGGTTTGTTGTGTGGCATAGCTGTACACCCAAGGTAGAGGGGTGTAAGCTCGATTTTTCCAGAGGAACAAAGGTCGCCTTGGGCGTGGAGCAAAGAGCTAAAAAAAAAATGTTTTTTGGTGTTGTTCGTCCGCCCTTTAACTTCAAGAGAAAACCGAGCGTACAGTCGCCTCTATTGGACTTGTGTCCAGGTGTGTGTAACGTATGAAGAGCCACGCTGCTGCCTGGGCGCAGAACTACCTGCACAAACAAACTCACTGATGTGTAAACTGCTTAATTAGTATAATAGGCGGGCACTCTCAAGCGCCGAAAAAGAAACCAATCCGTGTGCCTCCCCAAAAATCGCTGAATAGACCGGTCACATTTTTGGCTCCAAAATCTGCCCGATTGACACCCCTAACAGTGCGCGCAATTACTCAACAGGCCAAACGCCACACAGACCACGCTCCGGCTCAGTGGGTTTTATCGTGTATTCTGCAGCTGGGCGGAGAGTTTGGCGTCCTCATGAAACAATATGGTTCACCATGCTCCCAACGCAACCTTGTCTGCCAGGTCTACGAGAACACCAATATTCGCGAATACACGTCACAGCGTGTAAAGCATCTTGGAACGGGATAGCGTCGCACCTCTTTCCCAGCGTAGCACTCTAGTTGCCCGCCTTCCCCCAAGAAATCGACATGGTTCTCGTGAAGCACTGCACGGTGCCCGCAGGCCGCACCGTGGACGTGTACCTTGGCCCCGACCAGGCCATCCTTTCTCGTTTGCCCATGGGGGCGCTCAGCGCTTTGCTGCTTGATTGAACCGTCGGCAGCAGATCCTCCAGGCCCGTTGATGACGCTGGGGCTGCCGTGGACATCAAATGGTTCGGTTGAGGCGGCGATGGGGCTGCAGTGCTTGTGAGCATCACACCGCACGCGTTTGCGGCGGTAGCGGCGGTGCGGTATTGCTACGGGCTTTGCGAGGAGAGAATCCGGCGGCACCGAAGCTGATTGCGGCAGCGGCGGCGGCGGAGATAACGAAGAGTTACCAACAAGGCCGAGGATTTCGGTGTTTGTTAGCTGCTGCGGCTGCTGCTGCGGCGGCGGGGGTTGCTGCTGCTGCTGCTGCTGCTGCTGCGGTGGCGGCAGCGGCAACTGCTGCTGCGGGTGCGGTTGTTGCTGGTGCTGTTGCTGCAGTTGCTGCTGCTGGGACTTCTTCTGCTGCTGGTGGGTCTGCTGCTGCGGCTGGGGTTGCGGTTGCTGTGGGTGCGGCTGTTTCTGCTGCTGGTGGGACTGCTCCTGGTGTTGTTGCTGCTGCTGCTGGTGGGACTGCTGCTGTTGTTGTTGCTGCTGAGGTTGTTGCTGCTGCGGCTGCTGCTGCTCCTGCTGTTGCTGCTGCTGCTGGTGTTGGTGCTGTGGCTGCTGCTGCTGCTGCTGTTGCTGCCACTTTTGGTACTCTTGCCATTGCGGTTGCTTTTGAAGCTGTTGCTGGACTGCAAAAGCCAACCCGTTGAACAGGGGATTGTCGAGGGCTTCGGCGGCCGTGCATTGCAGCGGCCGGCTTGATCGCCGATTCGGCTGCTTTGCCATTTGGACAAGCGAATTAGAGGCCTTGACCTCCACGGTTGCCCCCGCTGGGGCTACCACTGTGGCCCGCCGTCGCTTTGTTCCACCCCTGCTCATCGTGCGGTTAGTCACGCCGCCAGAGGCCGAGGCATCTGCATCACTCCTCGTCGATGGCGGATTCTTTCTCTTTGTCGACGACGATGATGTCTGCTGGTGAATGTTCACGACGTGTTTCTTGAGATCGTACGGGCGAGTGAAGCGTTTCCCGCATAGTTTGCACTCGAAGGATTTGGCATCGGCGCTGTGAGTGCGCTCATGGGACCGCAGATCGCTTATCCGCGCGAACTTCCTTCCGCAAAGCGGGTGCACACACGCGTACGGCTTTTCACCTGCAAGGCCGAAATTGACAGACGCGCATTTTGTCAATTCTCCATCTCGAAATTAAAGCATGAGGGAGACAATGCGGTCATCATCAGAGTGAACCGCCCGTCGTGTACACTGTTCAACCTCCCTACCTCAGCATCTCCTTCTGTATCACACACATTGCGGTCCACCCGAACTTCAGTTGGCTACAACCTCGGCGTTGCGGTCTTCCAAGTGAGGTCGGCAGGTCAATCCCAGTGACAGTGAAACGTATTTCCCCCTTGCATTTTGCACCCAGTACTGAAGAAGGCGATCGTTCGTGATAACACCAACACAACGCAATTTTGCGAGCGCTGCAGTGTGAAAATCATATCTTGTGCCTAGATGCAGCTCTCCATTGACGAAAGGCAGGACGACGTTTCACTTGTGAGGTGCATGACGAGGTGGAAGATACGAACGGCCGTTGCTAAGCTATCATTTGTCGATGACCCCAAAAAAAGATCGACTACAGCGTAAGAAGTGGGTCATCAAACAGGTATCCTAAAAGCGAACCAGTTAAATATTTCGTTGTTATTGAAAAAAGGATACCTGACGAAAGAAACACGTCTACAACTGGCAATATAAAAAAGAACAACGCTTTCGGACAGCCCCGTCCTGTCCGTCGTTTAGCAAGCTTTGGACTGTGGGGATGTCCGAAACCGTTGTTCAGCCCCATGACCCTTGTACATCCCACAGATGGTATTGCAGCTTGCATCGGGCAGCCGTGCAAGTCTTTCACCAGTTCTTTTTTTGAGATGGCCTACATTTTGTCAGTCCAAGGAGCCGACAAACATTATGGGCACCCAATGCTTGTGCACGCGCACGTAAACACAAGAACAAATATAAACCGCCGAGACGCGGCGGAATAAGCAGCCTCCGATGGGCACATGACAGATGTCATTTCATTCATCTTATTGCATCCTGCGTTCGATGTCGCACGCATCATGTACGGGTGCACGGTCAGCGACAGACGGTGATTATGTGTGCCGAAATAGAGAATAATCAATGCACACTTGTACAGACGTACGTCACACAACGCACGCTCCCTACTGCTGTAATGCAACACTAAACAGCCACTCCCGATGATTGAGAAACATTATTGTTTTGAGAAAAAAAAATGGTCGGCGCACAACAATTGGCCGAAACGTTTCCTCTCATCACGCGAACGTCTAAGATTGAACGAAGGACATTTGGGGTTTGAGGCGCGGGGTTTAATCGTACAGCAGTCAGTGCAGCAGTGGCAAAGTATAAGGAAGAAACGGCGGGGTAGTTTTATCGGGGGATGGGTTGAATAAGCAACGGCGGTGATGACTACGAACAATTTCAGCAGCAGCTGCAGCAAGCAGCAACCAGAAAAATGCACAGTGCAGCTGCTCCTGTGAGACCAAGGGGCGATCTGCCGTAGAGGTCAACACGCATTAGGAAAGGTCAGGGGTGAGCTTCGGTTAGTTAGGTGATTGAGCGGAAAACCCTAAAAAATGCCAGGCACTTCGAAAAAACGAATTCCACGCGCATGGGCACAATCGTCTGCAAGGCCGAAATCGACTGACTGCTCATGTTGGAAACAGGAAACGCGGCCTTGAAGAACTTCACACGAGGTTGACGCCGTACGTGGGAACCTGGAGCGCGAGGGTATAGCGTGTGGGTGTGTGGGCCGGCGTGTGAGCCGATAAATTGTTGGCCCTGCGTGTGTCCGATTACAGGCGTGGAAACGTTGGTTGAAGTTACTTGAATATACACCAAACGGCCAAAACGTTTCGGCGTTCGGATCCGAACGCCGAAACGTTGTGGTGAATATGTTGAAAATAGAACAGACTGCGAAAACGTTTCCGCGTTCCGATCGGAACGCGGAAACTTCATTGACTCACTTTCACGTGTTCGAGATTTCCAAGGATTGGACCGACAGCACCAGACCAGGGTGATGTTTCAGAAAATCAACACCTGCATTAAACCTCCGCTGAACAATGATTCCCCGGCAATACCATTGGACACGAAATAAACCCCAATTAATTCCGAATCAACCCTTCCGCCGTGTCTATGGTTGTCTGAGTTCCGACCAAACCCTCGGAGGAGGAAGTTCGTAGCAAAACATTCCTCTGCACGAATCCGTGCAGAGTCCGTGCAGAGGTATTGGTTGCCACTCCAAACTTGAATTTTCGAGTCACACTTACTAGTAACTACCTGATGTGGATGGAATTGCAGAGAGAGGTTGCTGCCCGCGATGACCCTTCTCGCAGTCTACCTGACCAGACACCCCATGGTCCTTGCAGTAGTCCAGACATTCTAGCCTTCTTCGGCGCCGTACCTGGCCCTGCCTCGGACTCCATTGAACTGAGAAACTTCACCATCACCTATCTCCAGGCGCCGGAGAGCTCCCTTCTACGCCGCCGCCGACAGAGCCTCCAAAAAAACGTCGGCGTGCCGAATCGAGATATGTATCCTCCGTGGTCGCGGACAGTTGCTGCCTACAGCATTGTGGCAGGAAGATTTCCGATCCTACAGAGCAGGACTACAGCTTAGAGCTGCTCAAGGCCGAGCAAGGCCGAGCACCAGCGGTTTCAAGAGTTGGAGAGCGAAGCTGCACGGAAGAACTTCGCCATCCAACATGTTCCACTCTAAGCAAGCACAAACACAAGGTGTATGAAGCCAATCGGAGGGTGTGTGGCAAGTTCTTCAAGGTCGTGTTTCCTGTTTCCAACTACAGCAGTCTATGCCGGCCTTGCGGTCGCTTTGCCCATTCGGCGTGAAATTTGTTTTTTCGCCGGGCCTGGCATTTTGGTATGTTCGCATGAGAGGAAACGTTTCGGCCAATTGTTGCACGCCGACCAAATTTTTTTTTCTCAATAAAATATTCTTTCTCAATCATCGGGAGCGGCTGTTACTGAAACAATTCGACGGCCCAACGCTGCTGTACAGTACACTACGGGCACGACACGACCGTTCATTCCAGATTAAACCACGGGCACGACCATCCTAGTCAAAGCGAAGAAGGTGCCCACTCGTGTGCTGGTACACCGAGAGCAGTAGAGATCCGTAAAGCCGATGTCAAACATGGGAATATTGTGTCATTGTATCGCAGCTTGCCTCCCCAGAGCCGGGGAGAATCAGAGTTCCGTCTTCTTACAGCCCAAAGATAATTTCGCAAGGCAAAGAAGCTGTATTTTGCCGCTGTAGGTCTTTCTTTAGCATTTTCCTCGACCCTTGCCACCCCAGCTTCCGTACCTGCTATCGCCCCGTGGTCTCTATCAGCCACTACACAAGACGTAGCATACACACAGCTCGGATAGGGAGTAGCTTTGCATATGCTGTTGCTTTAGTTTGTGCAGAGGAGTCACCGAGACATCAAACCGGCGGCGAGGTACATGTATGACGAGTGGCAAATTCGAACGTCCAATTCAGATTTTTTTGTGGTGAGTGACTCGGATGATTTAAAAGATCTGCGGTGTAAGAAGTAATGAATTGGGTCCTCCAAAGAACATGTCCACAATAACGTGAGCCGGTCCAATAGGACAAAATAAGCAAACAGGAACCGCGTACGAGGAAGTGCCACGGCCTCCTTCCCTCTTGCGAAGCAACTCTGTCAGTCCAACATCCCAAAATCCCCATCAATGCCCCCTCGTGTCGCCGCCTTTGTGCACCCCCTTTGAGGACGCCACTCAAAGGAGGGGACAGTTGCTGGTAGCAAAACTACGATGGAATGACGTCGAGTCACTCATTCCTGTACTTTCACGCACCGCCGTGAACGTGGTCCAATCACTAAGCTTCACATAATCCTTTCAGTACCCAGTCCCTCCTAAAAAAATACAAATGTCGCAAAAATGTTGTCAGCCATTGGCCGAAGGGCTACAGTCCCTCCAAAAACTAGCTCCTTGCCAGACAAAGGGTGACTAGGTTTCAGTATGAAAAGTGTCTCCAAAGACACTTTTCATATTGAACAAAGTCACCAAATTTTTCCAGCACCAGGCGATTTACAGTTTTTTGGCCTAGGGAACGGCTTGGGAGATGG